CGGGGGCGCCCGACCAGGCGGCCGAGGCGCTGGGCAGCGCGGACGACGAGCTGAGCGCCAAGCTGCTGCGGCGCGCCGACCTCAACCAGGGCATCGGCGAGCCCCAGTCGCCCAGCCGCCGCGTCTTCAACCCCTACACCGAGTTCAAGGAGTTCTCCAGGAAGCAGATCAAGGACATGGAGAAGATGTTCAAGCAGTGAGTGCCCGTCCGAGCCGGCCCCCCACCCACCCCGCGCCCCGGGCTCGGGCCCCGGAACCCCCGATCCCCCCGATCCCGCGCTGTCCTGGGATCCCTGCCGCCAGCCAAGCTTCCCCCAAACCCTGACACACCAGGGTCGGGGACTCCAGGTCATCACGAGGCTTCCAGACCCACCACCCCACCATGCATATGGGTCTGGGCCACCTCCACCCCGCCCCCGCCCCTGGGACGCGACCCCTCCTCATAGTAATGCGACCCCCCAGTGCACCATAGGCGCGCACGTAGAGTGGGGGACCCCAGGGCTCCTCTCTGAGAATCACGAGCCCCCGTGAGCGGGACCGGGCCTCTGGCCCCTGGCCCAAGACCCTCCTGCCCTGTTAGTGACGCTTTCCCCACCACCCCACACCCGCACACACTGAGACTGAGGACCCCCGGCCTCCCTTCTCCCCCATCCCAGCTACTGGTGTTCCCCACCCCCACTCCAACACACGCTGGTCAAAGACACCCACCCCAGTGCCTCCCCAGGGTGACCATGCCCTGCACCCCATCCACATTCCTTTCATTGGGGTCCTTTCATTTCCTCTGCTGATCTCAGATCCCCCTCAAGGTGGGCTCTGGACAGGGGTGCCCCTTCCCTTCCAGTTATTCACATCTACTAGCAAACTGTGGGCAGAGACTCTTCAGCCCCTTCCACCCCTACCCACCACCCACTCTGTTAGCCAGGACCTAAATCCTTGACCCTCAAGTTGTCTCCCTAGGGACGGACCCCTCAGTCCCTGTCCCCCACTCTGCAGGCATATGAACCTCTCCCCGGTCATCCCTTCAGGGCCGAGTCCCCTCTGGACTGGGAAGTCCTCCCTCTCCTCTTATAGTTGTTCCCCCCACTCCCCCACACCCAACAGCTTTGCAGTCACCGCTCCCCTGCTTTCCGTCAGAAGGCCTCCATCTCTTCTTCCCCACTTGTGCCCCCTTCCCTCCCCACACAGGATCCTTGATGCCCCACACCACTCCAGTCAGAAAGGGCAGCCCTTCCTATCTGACTTGCCCATTTACCCGACCCCTACCCTTTATCCCATATGGTTTCACATGTGGACGCATATGGAGTGAAAGGTAAGGGTGCTCAACCCAGACTAGACAGGCATCCCCCCACCCCCACCCCCA